CCCTGATATATATATATATATATATATATATATATATATATATAGATGAATTCTAAAGAATGTTTTAATAAAACTAGTTTAACCGAATCGGTTAACGAGTTTCGCTAAATGTCGTCACATCATATGTATGTATACACATATAAATCATTAGATTTACGTAAACACAAATGTCAATTAACGTTACGCGTATTAATGCTCGTACATGAATGAACCTGTGCTAGTTTTGTAAAAAAATTCCTGCATAAATATTGTGCGTTCTAATAAAAAAAAACTGAACGTGATAATTAAGCGATCCTTAGAGACAATGGTCGTGTTCAACAGATTCAACTGTTGTGGAGTGGATCCGTGAGTTTTCATTACTATTGGATGATCTAGAAGAATATAATAATAATACATCAATAGCAGCAAACGTTGACAATGGCTACGCCTTCAGCAGAAAAAGCAGCTTTGCAATCGTTGTAAAATTCTTTAATATAATTGGTTTTGCCCTTAGTTCTTCATTGAATTTAAATGTATTAAACTAATCGTATTAATGAATTGTACAACAATTGTAAAGCTGCTTTCTCTGCTGAACGCAGCCAATTATTAACTAGGTTGAACTCGTCGATCACTTTATTATATAGAAATTAAGCAGTATAGAAAACTTCTCTCATTCTTTTCCCCACTACACTTCTTTACATAAACGTAAACCTGAAGAAATATATCTCGCACACAAGATTTGATACGAAAAATTTCTTTGATTTCAAAAATTAGTTCCGATATCCTAAATACTATATATTTTGTTAGATAATCCGAAGAGATTATCACCGCAGTTATGTTGTGTAAATTTTACTGTGTCCATAATTTTTTGTCAAGTTATGTAAATTATTATTACGATACTATTATCGGCAAGCAAATTTGAAATATTAATGACAAAAAGTAGAAATTAACAGAAGCATTAAATTAATTTGAAATATCTGGAGACACTGGTAGTGTCTCGGCGCTAAGCTGCGCAGACCGACACTGCCGTGCCTCCTTTACGCGAATCGACGAGTTGCGGCAGATCGAGATTATCGGATCTCAATAA